AGGTCACACACCATTAGGGATAGACTTATATGTGAAGTATCGGAAAGGAAGACTTGGATTTAGTCGGAAAAACCATTTTCGGATCAAATCAGAGTGTCAGTATTTGACTCGGACCGAGTCAGTTCCATGCGATTCGAAGCCCAGAAAGTGTTTTGGGCTTGGCTGATGTTTTGACTCGGTCGAGTCAAAGTTTTGACTCGGACCGAGTCAATACTCAGTGGGCCGAGTCAAGAGTTGACAATGAGCTTGGGCTAATTCGTTCTGACTCGACCGAGTCAGAGTTCTGACTCGGACCAGGTCAATACTCGGAAAAAGTCTCTTTTCACAAGGATTAGGGTTTCTAATTTATAAAAAGGTGTTGGACATCGTCCTAAATGAAGAACTCACTTTCAGAACCCTAAGACAGAGCAAAAACTCAGAAGAAATCGTTTCTTTAATAGTTCTAGCTCCCGGGATTAGATCTCACTTCATATACTTCACAGATCCTAGCAGGTCGGTTCCAAAAGCGTTTGGAATCCTTCTCGTTGGTGTGGATACGTGTAGAGGGACTGTAACTTCAGTCCTAGGTGATTAAACAAGCCCCAGATCGACTCCTACTTCCGTTTCTTCAGGAAAGAGACAAGTATTCGATTCCCACGGTGATATACACGATTATACGGGGTTTTACGGATGATTTTGGTTGCGTGTGACGTTTGACTAGGTTTAGATTATTCTTCCGCTGCATGAAACCATAGTAAACCAAACCCTAGATCGATATGATCACATGCTAGGAATCCGTAGCTAAAACCCAACACCGGAATCATCACAGACGTTCGTACAATCACGAACATACTCTATTCGAGATAGGTAGTCATAGTGATTTGCTAGAGACCGCCTATGACTTGTATATCCGAAATAGAGATTTCAGGTTATACTGCTATATCGAATGAGCCTACAGGATCACACACGCAGGGAAAGACAAACGCATGAGAAAAAACGATGAAAAAAACGAGACGGAAGGGGCTGGAACGGACAGATCGGAAGGGCCAGACCCGACGATCCGCCAGGTCCAGACCCGACGGTCCACCTAAGGCAGACCTGGAACGGACGGTCCACGTGCATTTCTGGACCGTCCATTCCGGCTTTCGGGTTTTTCGAAAATTAGACCGAAATTAGGGTTAAATCACCTTATAAGAAGAATATTAAAACCCTAATAAATTGAGAAACTTTTGCAGCCGTCTGATGCAGACTTTTGACAGCTTTTAGTGAGATCCAAAAGGTACAAGAGTTTCCAAGTCTCGTTTTTCTCGAAGCATCATACCGAATAACTGATTCGGGTCCTAACAAACAAGTTCCAATCGTTGGAATCCATCCCGAGGTGTGGATACGTGTAGAGGGCGAGGTTATCTTCCTGCCTTAAGTGATCAGACGAACGTATCAATTGAAACAAACCCCGGATCAATTGAGGTAAGCGTTCTAACGTTTCTACAGAATCATACATGCATGGTTTTAGGGTTTCTTAGAAAAATTTTGTTTTACATCCGCTGCGCAAACCCTAGAACCGATCTCTTAGGAATAGGATTCGCTCTAGAGATCCCAAGAATCCCAACATTGCGTTACATTGTTGGCTCTTCCTCTCTCGGTGTTTTCTTGTCCACCAAGAACTCCATGCAACTGAATGCTTTCTAGGATTGGGACTGCAACCGCGACGATTTTACCTTCACTAGTGCTCACATTGTTTACCTCGTCTAAGAAACAAAGGATTGTGGCCCGCTCGTCGACTGAATTTGAATACAAGTTTTTTGCACCGATAGACTCAAAAATTAGTTGGCTTTCATCTCTTCTATCTTAACTTGGCGTTGTCTCCTCTTCACCACTGATCATCTACTGTAACAATGCAGGTGTCACTTACTTGTGTGCCAACCCTATCTTTCATTGCCGCATAAAGCACATGACGATTGACTATCATTTCATTCGCGGTCTAGTCCAAGATGACCTCGTTCGCATCACTCACGTCTTATCTCAAGATCAATTAGCACATGCACTCACGAAACCTCTACCACAAGCACGGTTTGATCTTTTTCGCATCAAGATAGGACTTTCTCACGAGCCTCATCTTACCGGGGTATAACGGAAAGAAATCATCTATCAAATATTCTCTCTATATTTTTTTTTGATAATCCAAAATTCTTTCTATATTCTGTCACTCACACCCTCATTTCATATTATTTACTCATCTTATACATTGTTTATTCAAAGTGTATATTTACCTTGTACATTCCGTTGATCAATACATTAGGAAATACATTCCCGTAATCGCAGCGATTGCGATTGCATCACCACCCGTCACTGCCTATATCTATATAATTGAAAATTGTAAATAAATTATTGCATGTTTTTCTAACCTGGCTGGTCCAACAGATCCAACCAAAAACTAATGCTTCTTATGAAACCAATAAAAAATGGTTGGACACATAAATCCGGTTTTTTATACTTCAGTTTTCGGTTTGAAATTATATATTAGCTTTTCTTTATTTAAAAATCTTCAATTATGTGATTGTACAGACGTGTATATATATGTGTGTAATTGTATGTGCGTGTACAAATATTGTCATTTTAAGAATAAAGAGGACAACTGGCCCAACTTAGTACCGATTTAGCAGTTGTATATGTATATCTGCATATTCGTTTCCATATTCAGTTATATATTTGGTGTTTGTAATCCTTATTTATTAAAATAAAAATTTATATTTTACCAAAATAAAAAACAAAAAATTATAATTTTAGAAAAAAAAAATACAAAATGAAATATATTGAAACAAATAGGGTAAATCCCATTAAAATTCTTAAACTTGAAAAATGATGGAAAGATTATTTTTAAACTTTTTCAAATTTATATCTAAATTTATAAAATATTTTATTATAATTTCTATATTTGTTAATTGATATTATAAGAAAACTTACAACACTGGTCCATAATTTCGTTTTAAAATTAAAAGAACATATTTTATAAATATGATAATTATAATGATACATTTGAGAATAAATTTACGAAGTAAAAAATTTAGAATTTGCAATGGGATTTACCCAAACATATATACAGCTTAATATGATCTACACATGTTTGATTAGTCATTATTCAACTAATAATTGAAACAGCAGAATATGACAAATTTACAGAGAGAAAATTGGGGGAAAAGGGCATAAGAATCAATTGTTTTGGGTAAATTTGTTCTTGTGATTGGTAATCCAAGTCCGAAATTTCTCGCGTGGCACACCAATTTCTGTGCAAAATTTTTCTACACCTTCGCCAGTTTCCTTGTTTATCCTCCACCGGATCTTCTCCGCATACTCTCTCATCCTCTCCGTCTGCTCCGCCGTGTACTTCGTCTTGAACCTCTTCCCCGTCTCCGCCGTATCTCCGCCGCAGTTCGCCCGGTCCTGATTTTCCGGTGGCCTTTTTCTTCCGCCGCCGCAGATCTCTCGCTCTTTTCCGTTTCGATTCTGATTCCCCGGCGACTCCTTTGCTTCGCCTACTGCTTTACATCTCGACGCTGATCTGTATAACTGACCAAATCCCACCGAAAATAGCTCGGGCGTATTCGGAATCGCCGCCGCGGCAGCAGCGGATGAGGTGGTGGATTCGCCGCAGTTGTGAATCGGTGACGACGGCGCGTGATGGGGACGCGGGGATCTGGGCCGGCGGAGGCGGGGGAAATGGATGTGGTCGCCAGTTTCTTGGCAGATGAGTGTAGTGATTGTGACATCGTTTTGATTTTGGTCGCCATCTCTGCATCTCTCTGCTTGGGGAATATTACTCAAATAACCCACTTGGGTCGCAGTAATTTCAGTGTACACCACCGAAAAAAAAAAAAAATTTGCGACCTTATTACGACTAATATATAACTAATATACAACTTATTACGACTAATAAACTACTCTTATTTTAGTTGTATATTAGTTATATATTAGTCGTAATAAGGTCGCAAATTTTTTTTTTTTTTCGGTGGTGTACACCTGAAATTGCTGCGACCCAAGTGGGTTATTAGGGTTAAAACCCCCTCTGCTTGTCCCAATTTTATCTCATCCATTGGAAGGAGGAAAATGGAGAATCGAGTGTTTGGTGTAAACGAGGAGGGTGAGTGCGCGTTCTTTTCTTTTTTTTCGGGATATCATGTTTATATATATATATAATTCCCAAAAAATAAATTTTCAATTAAAACAATCGTATATATATATAAACACGTAACGATGTGTAGAACCAAACCGTACCGAACAAAAAAAATAGTATTTTTTCGATCCAAATCTTCTAAAAATTGCGAACGATATTAAATTTAGAAAAATCAAATTTTCGAAAACAAACCAAAGCGAATCAAATATTAAAAAACCTCGAGAAACCAATTTTTTTTAAAAGATCTATTTTTAATTTATACAACTTGCCAAGATTGCGACATTATGTAAACTCTCCACAGAACCAGACGAATTCTTTGTGTCATGTCCAAAAGAGAAATGTCATATATCTGATGATACAACTGGAACTCGAACCGCTTCGACTCGGATTTTTTTTTTTTTGCCAACAAAGGAAAGAGGGAAACGGCGGGCGGGATCGAAACTAGACGTATCCAATCACGGCTTGAACATAGATTGAATTGAGAAACTCGGGTTTGATAATATACGAGAGAAACACCTGGTTGAGCAACAACCTATTTGGCTCCCAAAGCTTCCTTGAGGAGTTTCTCCGTTAGCGTTTTCGGGAGACCCATCACACTGTCCGTTGTTCCGACCTGTTCACAACATATCCCGACCCAACATTCAAACCAATAAATTGGTTTCTTCAACGGAAAAAAAACGCAGAGAGAGCGACAACCCTGGATTTATTAGCCTAAGGGTATGCATCTAAGTGGTAATTGCGTTGCGAAAGTGAAACTGCGGGGATAATTATATCCTCTATGACCAGGTCGTATGAGAAATCTATATTTGAAGGCGGGTTTCATGTTTTGTTTTGTTTTTTTTTTTTTTTTTTCGATTGCAGACGTGACAACTGTGATTAAATCAATCATATGCATGACAAACAATCAATCGACCACTATATCCGAAGCAACAGTTTGTATAGCATGCGAGATGCAGAAGAGAAGGATAAGTGAACTGACCACTTCCTTGACATATGGTAATACCAGAGGATGCTCGATTATGAGAGCACCGGCCACCTTGAGCACCATGCCTTCCTCAATCTGATCATGAATAACTCGGCGACTTAGTCCCAAAAAATAATCACAGAAAACGAAAAAGATTTTAAATTGCATCATATTTTCCTACCCTCTTACCAGTTTTTCGATGACCTCCTCAGGGATTTCATGGAAATAAATCTGCAAGGAGTCAGCTAATGGCAGTTGATTGATTTATTTACAAATTGCAAAATGAAAATCTACCGGCAAATCGAATAAGTCAATATTACCTCAACCCTGTCCACATCTCCTTTTCTGAATCCTGTTTTAAGGTTTGTTACAAGCACGGAACTCACAGTCGCTGCATGTCCCTTGGAGTAGCCTACATTTAGTCGTACCGTTATGCCCTAAACCCGACCCTAAGCAAGCACTGAGAAAATGTACAACAAAAAAGGTCATGAAGTGAACAGTTTTGAACAGACCGGACCTCTGATGTATTCCCGTGCTTCTTCCACGTGTGATGGTTTCTCCCTGACGGCATCTTCATAAACCACCACCTCCATCCCATTCAAAATGCAAACAAATCAATATCACTCATTGACCACCATCTCAATTTGATAATTGAAAAACTTTGGATGACTATACAAAATCACCAAACACCATTTATGTCCTGGGAATGGCTTGACCAAGCAGTTTTTCATTTATATCATAACTTACTATGAATTACTACAATACTAGGTAAGTTCCTAACCAACTAAGTGGGGCTATCTTAGCAAATACACAGAGCGATCAAATTTTTTTCTCTCTAATATGGAATTAACTGTGATCCGCAGGCTAGTTGAATAATTAGTATGTAACAGTACTGGTTCTAGAAACTCAGAAATCACAAATATGAATTAAGATTGACTAGTACTTGGTCACAAGTAATGAGTAATGTTGATTCAGCCTCCTCTGTGTTGTCATCACCAGGGATCCGCTGCACGATTGCTTTAGCCTGGGAAGAGTTTTTGCCAGTGTATCTAAGTGTGTATGGAAAGAGGGCAAACACTTGAACTTGACATAATTGAATAGAAAACACACAATAATAAAAAAAAACACAGAAAACACAATCGCGAGCAAAACTAGCAAATTATGCACCTAATAATAATATGGCCTACAGTAAAGCAGAAAAACACGGAAACATGTGAAAAGCACGTAGACAAGGCATAAATTTTCATGCAGCATTATCGAGGACGATACTAAACATAAATCAAACAACCAAAAGCAACATACAAGTCTATCAGTTCTGGTTGACAGAGTGGAGCTAGAACGAACTTATATTTCTTGGGAAATAATCCAATCCCAGGAGCACAGAATAGTGTTTGGCGATAGTGGATGGAGATGGTATTGTTATTAACTCAAAATCGGAGTGTCATTCTCTAGAAGAAAAACTCTACATACTGTATCAGCTGCGATCAAGACTGTAGGTTGTGCCTCCTGTTGCACTTGTGTAATTCGCAGTTTTGAAACGATAGCATCAGCCTGTGATGCAATTTTAAAAACCATGAAAAAAAAAGAAAGAAAACCAGAAACTGCTTGCTGGCTTTATGACCAAAAAATGCAGAAGGACTCATAATAAACAAAATAATAGACCTAAAGACAAAACTACATCAACATCAACTGCGAAGAGCCTCGTGTATTTTTGAAACTTCTATTTGATCAGAAGCACATGAAAATATTCTGGTGATTATCAATAAACTTGTAACTCAAACAATGGGTTATAAAAGAATTCCATAAATTGGAATACGAGAAATTGTTAATCACTACAGCTGATGATCGTTTTTTGTCAGCTGTTTATAATTTTATTGAATTACCTTTGCCTCGGCCAAAGCCATGACCAGCTCTTCAGGTTTCTCCTTGCGAATGCTCTTCTCATCGATATCAGCACTCTGCAGATAACCAAAAGAAATATACAGAAAACTCAGAATTCCATCAGAATGCGCCAAATAAGAAATTGTAATCCGCTGAAATTACGGAATAACCAAATCGAGAGACTACCACGAGTGTGAATTCATATCCCATGTCTGCTAATATTTTCCGACGAGCAATCGAGGAAGATCCCAAAATTAGCTGCAAAAGTTAAAGGTAAGAAGTATACAAGAACAGTTTAATAAAACTTCAAATTTCCAGTTTCACGGCAGATTGGTTCAATACATACCATTTTATCCCGGAATCAGTCAAATTAAGGATAACATATATATACATAAAAGTATAGCATAATCAGGAAACGCCAGATTCCGACTTTGGGGAGATCGATACGAAACATTCAGATTTTCACTCAAAATTCGGCAAACGTCGAGATTCCAAATCTATAGCCAAAGCATTTTCAGAAGAACTAGGGATTCCAGCTTTCCGGGAGATCGGTAGATCACTACGAATCAGAGGGATTATACTTCGAAATTCAAAATGAATAGGATCCAGAGAGACAATCCAATCGTCAAATTCATGAAACAAATTCGACTCCTTCAATTCGAAAACCTAAACACTAAACAGCGAAGCAATGACAAGAAGGCAATGAAGAGAGAGGGATGGAGACGAACCTTGAACTGACCAAGATTAGCTTCCATTTTGCCCTGCAGTTCGATAAATGAACTAAAAAATTTGTAAGAGATGGAGAAAAGGAACGAAAGTAAACCCTAATCGAACTCTCAAGAGCTCAGTAGTTCAAAAATTTGTAAGAGGACGGTTTTTGGTTTTCGAAGTTTATGGGAAATCTTATACATAAATAATTATTAGCATTTGATATATTCAATTGCTTGCTAAAACCACTCCATCTTCCATCTCATCATTTTTATAATTTTTATTATGCAATTAAAATAGTTATATTTATATATAATTTGCCACTACAGTGTATCTCAAAAAAATGTATGAGATGAAAGAACATAGGTATATTTATGAAATGGTTGATTAGCGAAGTCAAAATAGAGTTATCAATGAAGTTACAAAGAATATTAATAATAATTTGTTTGAGTTTTCGTTTAGGATATTGAGAGCATTCTAATGTCAAACATTAGAATAGGATTGAACACCAAATTGAACATACGAAGAATGTGGAAGATAGAATTGAGTTGTTGATGAAGAAAATGAGTGAGAGTTTGACACCGAATAAAAATGGTGAATCTTCGACGAGACATATGATAACACTTCCGGGAACAAAGAAACCCCAAAGAGAGAGTGAACCTATGAGTGCACCACTAGATGATTTTGATCTTGATGCATGTGGGTTTGAGAATGAACACATGGAGACAACTGAGTAAGCTGCAGAAGATATCGAGCGTGACCTGGACAGAGTGATTGTGGATGTTCTTAATAAATTAGATCATGTGAAAGTTGATGAAAAAATGACCAATGGTGTTTTTGAGACAAATTCTGCTAATAGAGAGAAAGAAGATAAGGAAAACATTGAAAAAACATAGAAAGAAGACGAGGACAAAGAAGGAGAGAGAAGATGAAGAGGAAAATGATGAAGAATTAGAGAGAAGATCATGAAAAAATATAGAAAGAAGACGAGGGCAAAGAAGGATAGAAAGAAGATGAAGAGGAAGAGGAGGAATAAGAAGAGAAAGAAGATGATGAAGAAATAAAGAAAGAAGACGAGGACAAAGAAGGAGAGAAAGACAATGAAGAGGAAGAGGATGAAGAAAAATGAGAGAAAGAAGATGAAGAGGAAACATAGAAAGAAGACGAGGACGAAGAAGGAGACAAAGAAGATGATGAGGAACAAGAAGAAAAAGGAGAGAAAGAAGATGATAAAAAAAATATAAAAAGAAGACGAGGATGAAGAATAAGAAGAAAAGGAAGAAGAAGTGGAAGAAAAAAATGCTGAGAAAGAAGAAGAGAGGAGAGTTGTAGCAACAAAAATATATATTACAAGAAAAAGAACAAAAAAAGCATCGTCTAAAACATTGAGTCCTTGGACTAACATATTGAAAACTATCAATTCGAAAGGATCATAAGAGGCAAGGGGAGAGGAAGAAGAGGTGCAGGCCGCAGAGCAAATGGTTTGTGAATCTTGAACTATGTTTGTGAATCTAAATTCAACTATGTATGTGAATCTTGAACTACGTTTATACTCATTTATGAATTTTGTATCATATGTGAATCTATGGTGTTTCTGATTCTTGAACTCACTTCATGAGTTTTGTGTTACATGTAAACCTATAGTGCTTGTTAATGTTGAATCCAGTTTATAAATTTTATATGTGAACCTATGGTGTTTATAATTCTTGAACTCCATTTATGAATTTTGTGTTAAATTTGAACCTATGGTACTTGTGAATGTTGAATTCAGTTTATAAATTTCATACGTAAACATTTTATATTTGTAAATGTTGAACTCAGTTGATGAGTTTTGTGTTATATGTGAACACTTTGTATTTGTGAATCTTGAACCTAGTTTACAGATAACACACGTTTTTTGACCATTTATAAATAGTTGTAATTGTGACTGATTAAGAACTCGTAATGAATTCTAGCGCAATCGAAATTGATTCTAAAGAAGTGTCAAAAAGTTCATCCTTGATTTTTCGACACAATCAAATTGTAAAAAATAATCAAATTTAAAAATATTAATTAAAAAAATTGTAAAAGTCCTGATTTTTCTGACACATGCGTCATAGATAAAGATGAAGATTGTCTTATTAGGATAAAACTGTTATTTTATTATTTTTATTACAACTGTCGTACGACTAAATTTGATTATACTAAGACGTATTTACAATTTTAGTGTTCGATGAAAATACTCAAAAGTCATAAATTTTGACAAGTGTTCATTGGGTGGCGATGATTATCTATAAATTAAATAATAAAAAGAGAAAATAAAAATTTTCTACACGAATTTAGCAAAATATGACTTTTTTATACAATATTTTTAATTTGACAAAAAACTATATTTGAATTTAAAATTTTTCAAATATTTAGACGAATTGTTAAAATTAACAATAATTACTGACATAATCATTATTTTCGTAAAAATTCTTCGAATTCTGTTAATTAATACACTAATGTGTATGGTAGTTACAGTAATTACCTAACTAATGCATTAGTTAACAGAATCTGAAAAATTTTAACGAAAATGATGATTATGCATGTAATTACTATTAATTTTAACAATTTGTATAGACATTTGAAAAATTTTGAATTCAAATATAGTCTTTTATCAAATTAAAAATACGTATATGAAAAGGTCATATTTGGTTAAATTCGTATAGGAAAATGTTATTTTCCCTGATAAAAATGAGTTTGAATTAACTATTTTGACAGATTATAAATTTTCAAAATTGAAAGAAGAGCAAAAACATCATTTACGGGCAATTTGGACCAAGTTGGTAGTCACGGATAGTCACAAGCTTTCCACGAGCGAGAAATAGAGGAATCGTGAGTAACGGACAAAGGTCGATATGGAGGTTGCCTTAAACATTGATATCGATGTCCAAAAAAGTTTGAGATCTGAAAAGCGAAAATGTCGATGTTCCTTAAACATCGATATCGACGTTTAGAAGAGCTCGAGATATAAAAATAAAGAATTCGATGTTTCTTCAACATCGACGTTCCAGTCTTCTCGAGTTTTGCAATGCCACCTTGAATATCGATGTTGGACAACCTGGATATCGAGGTTCCAACATCGATATTTTCACCAAATCTATAAAAAGATGAGCATAAAGGCAGTTCAGGAGTTCGCACACATTTTGAGATAGATGTCATTTTTCGTTTATTCTTCATTTTTTCGATATTTGGGAGCATTTGAAGTTTGAGGATTACTACATTTCAGAGTTTAGGGTCGATTGTTCATTCTATGTGTTCTTTCTTTATATCTTTTGAAAATTTGCTAGAATCTGTATTAGATTCGTTTTCTCAAGTGGATTGTGAGTAGTTCACTTGTTGTACTATAGCGATTCTAGCCATTTTATTGATTTGTCATCGTTTTTAATATGATTATTGCATGTTTCATTTAGATTTGGTTTTATAGATTGTACTTAATGCTTTCATCATATTGAACACCTGCATGAATTGATATGGTTTGGTTATTTATAAAGGGATTTGGGATACTTAAACTGTAATTCATTCATAGGATAGATTTAATTATTAATTTTGAATTCATAGGATGGACTTAATAAGGAATTAGTAATTTAAACTACGAATAATGAAAACGGATTTTAATGCTTCTAGTGTGGATCTAAAAATGTGGAGGTTGATAGAAAAATGCTAATTGGAGAATAAGTATCCCTGACCTAGACGCATTCTAGATTAGAAGGAAAAGTTTTCCAAACTGAAACCAAACTGTAAATCAATCTAGATCCTTACATATAAACCATAGCATTGGTGAACAATCAATCAATCGAACTTCGCAATTGTTGGGATTAGAATCGGCGCCATCACCACTCACTTCCTATATTCGACCCTGGTAGTACAATCGATTTATACCATTGTGGAATCGGTTTAGTCTAAATTTTATTACTTCAATGAAATCCATTCACCTAGAAAGGATTGATCAATAGTCATCATCCTTCGACGAAAACTCCATAAAATTCATCTTTTTTATACTTCCACCACATTCTAAAGTTGTAAATACGCTCTTATTCTAATTGAATGTTAGTTCTATAGTAATCATAAGAAAGTTCGTAAAAAATGGTTTTGTTCCTATGCAAGTATTAGACAAATCATGTTTTTTCTAATTTTTTATTTATTATTTTTTTAAAATTGATTATTTTTAAAATTTTGATTATTTTTAAAATTTTGATTATTTTTAAAATTTTGATTATTTTTAAATTTAATTGTGTTTATCTAAAAAAAATAAGAATATATTTTTTTGTCACTTTCTTTAGAATTGTTTACAATTATTTTTAGAATTAATTACGATTTCTTCTAAAAAGTCTCAAGATAATTCCAAAAATCATTGAAGAAATGTACAACATATTTCTCATTATATTTTATCATGCAATTTCACCACAATATTTGTTTTTTTCTTCTTTGATTGTGGCTCTTCAGAATCAAATTCATCACCTAGTTTTAGCCTCGCCTTCTACGTTCTTCATTTTTCTCCGGCATTTGGTATTCGATTGAATTTCGGTTGCCTAATAAGACGGTTGAGTTTCATCTCTGCTATATAGTTAGGGATATTCCAATGACAAATATCAGAAATCGGGTATATAGTATCATGATATGCCTATTTTCATGTCGTCCTCGTATAGTACAGTGAGCAAAAGTCAAGTAACTTGTATTTTCTCCATGTTCATGCAAAACTTTAATATTGCATGAGAACATGCGTATTTATCAACATCTCACACCTTACATTCGGAGGTCATTTTTTGAAGATGAACGAAATACGTTTCCCATTAACATCGATGACTTTGTTTCCCTTCCAATTTCGATTTATCTCTGATAGTAGATACTTTGGAAGTTTTATACCGCTTATATAATTCCTTTTCCACATATGGTGTCAGTTGCTTTGTACTTGAAAATGCATTCTTCCTGTGTTTATACCACCACTCTACTATTTTTATCTGCAATCACATCAATCAAATCGAGCAAAGGTAATGACTTTGCCTTCCTCAAGATGGAATTGATAGACTCTGCACCATTAGTAGTCAATAGGTTATATCTTTCCCCGAAAAATTAACACTTACTCATTTAACATGTTCAACTCTCTTATTTCAAATTTTCAACAACATTCGGAAACTTGCATATAAAATCATACTCGGGTCATGTTTAAAAAACCA